GTTAGTTTTCGAATTTTTAGAGTGTCTCTCTTTTTCTTAAATTTAGCTTTTACGGCGCGTTTACAATAGACAATGCGGTCAAGACAATAAAGAAATGCGTATTAGTTGTCAAAAACGCTGATAATTGTCTCCATGGCGTAGGCGTCCTGACAATAGTTATGAAACATCATTTTGAGCTAAATGTCGGACGTGAACGTTGTATTATAACACGCATTTCGCGCGAGCTATTTAAGCTAAAAACTAAAGAATAATAAAGAAGAAACAAATATACATACACATCAGCGTCTCTTGTATTATTATAGTTCTTTTGTTAGGTATTTCTCTTCTTTCTTTCACAAGACGCCAAAATTATTGTCTGCATTAGGGATGTTAATTTTTTCGATTTTCGCGTGGATTTTCGGGATGTCGTTGGTTCAATCCCTTTCAATGACTTAACATGAAAAAATTGCATCAATATGGTTTGAGAAGCTCTCCTACCATATAATAAATAATAACTAAATGGGTTTGGAACGAACTTTTTTATTTAAAGTGAAAATTATTTTATAATTAACAAAACGACAGACAGTAATTAAATTTATATGCATTTAATAATACTTTAGTGTGTACATATCTGATAAAGTAATTCAAGGTATGTCGAAAAAAGCTCGATGCAAAAAAAAATTAGACAAAAAATTTATTTTTTGGTTGAAAAAAGTTCATAATTCTAGCGGCAGAAATAAAAGAAGCGCCGTAATTCGACCAGTTTTGTCTATATTCCTTTTGTTTATCCAAATTTTAATATTTTAATTTTTAAATTTTTTTTTTATAAAAGTCTACTTTATATTAGACATAATTAACTGCATATGTATAAATGGTCATTTCTCTGACGTCATGATTTTTTCAAAAAGACTTTGTCGAGCCCTAACCGCCAAAATAACGCAAGCGACATTTTTTTCAAAACTTTCTTTTTGATGCAGAAATATCGCTGGAGCATCTAGAAGTATTTCTGCATCAAAACGAAAATTTTGAAAAAAATGTCAAATGTAAGTATATTGCACTGAAATTTTTAAATAATTTTTTGAATTACTCATATCTTTCAAATTTCAAAGTTCTTTTTAAAAATCCTGACGTCAGAGAGAAAAATTAAGAACGCAATTTTACACATTTATAAAAAAATATTAAATATTAAAAACTGGTCAACATAAAGCGTTTCAGTTATTTCCACCAGTGTAAATTACAAATCCCGGGATTCTAGGCAAATAATCTCGGGATTTTCGGGACTTAAAAAAGACATTTACATTCCTAGTCTGCATACTCCCTTGTAAACAAAAAATTTTCAGGTAAAAGTGTTACCGTTTTTTAAATATTTACACATTTTTGATTTAAAAAAAAATTGTGCCTTTTCATGTATTTTCTTTAACTGCATCTACAAAACAGGCTATACTTAATAAATTTTTTATGTAAAATACTTCCGGATAGTTGCTTTTCCATATTCAAATACAATGTAGTTAAAATATATTAAGGAACCATCATAAAATTAGGACTATTTTGGGATTTTTAATTTTTGATATTTTCTTCCCCAACTTTGACTATCTCTGGTGAAAAAAATGTACTGAGCTATAACTTTACATAACATAAAAAATTTCTAATTTAATAAAGATTTCAGAAAGGTGTCACTCTTACTGTTTCGAATAGAAAAAAAAAGTTATAGGTGCTTTTGTGGGTAAAGGACGCTAGAATGTATTTAATAGATTTAAATTTAAGTTGCTCTTATTACCAACCAATGACATGCTAAATAGTACAAATGTACATTTTTACCTGCTCCTGACATTATTTTATGTTACTTACCGGAATTAGCGAAAGTGGACTTTGTGAAATTGGACCCTTCGATCATTGTGTTATTAATACTATGACAGAGAACACACAGTATACGTCGCATGAATATGCGGATATTCACCTAATTTACGGTGAAGCTTGCTGTAATGCCAGAGCTGCTCAAAGACTCTATGCAGAGCGATACCCCAATCGTCGACATCCGGGTCGAGAAGTATTCGCCCGGACCCATAGAGAAATATATGAAGGTAAGTGATTTTTACACCTTTCTTGTTTGCTTGCTTGTTAACTATAATTTTTCACTTTTTTAAGGTCGCATACCTGGAAGGCGTGGCGGCGAAACAGGACGTCCTGCAACGGTAGATGTTGAAGCTGTGTTAGAGGAAGTGGAACTAGCTCCATCGACTTCAGTGAGAATGATGGAAAGACGGACGGGAATACCAAAAACTACAGTTCACAAAGCTTTAAAAGACCACCGATTTCATCCCTACTTGTTTCAACGTATTCAGGCTCTACAAGAAAAAGATTACCCGTCATGCGAATGCATGAATCAGACCCCAACTTTTTTAATAAAATAATTTGGAGCAATGAATCATCATGCAAACGTGATGGTTATTTTAATTTACATAACCTTCACAGTTGGCAGATAGACAATCCTCACGAAATGAGAGAAGATCGTTCGCAGTACCGGTACAAAATAAATGTATGGTACGGTATTTTTAATTGTCAGATATTGGGACCTGTGGAACTGCCGCCAACGCTCAATTCTCACATTTATTTAGAGTTCCTTCAGGAACGGCTTCCAACTGGTTTAGAAGATGTACCCTTAAACCTGCGGCGAAAACTATGGCTGCAAAATGACGGGTGCCCTGCTCACTACGGGCGTGAAGTAAGAGCTCATTTAGACGAAACTTATCCTCGCCGATGGATTGGACGATACGGGCCAATAACGTGGCACGCTCGACCTGAATCCATTAGATATTTTTACTGGGGCTGTCTTAAGGACAAAATTTATTTAAAAACAATTCAAAACGAACAGCATTTGCGGGAACAAATAAATGGAGCTGCTGCTGAGATAGCCCAATGGAGTTTAAGATCTCTAAAAGCGTCTTTTCTTAAAAGGTGCCGAGCTTGTATTAGAGTAGAAGGTCGCCAATTTGAGCATATTTTATTAATAAATGAATAAGTTTTTCTTCAAACAANGAGATAGTCAAAATTGGGGAAGAAAATATCAAAAAGTTAAAAATCCCAAAATAGTCGTAATTTTATGATGGTTCCTTAATATATTTTAACTACAGTGCATTTGAGTATGGAGAAGCAACTATCTGGAAGTATTTTACATAAAAAATTTACTAAGTATAGCCTGGTTTGTAGATGCAGTTAAAGAAAATACATGAAAAGGCACGATTTTTTTTTAATTAAAAAAAATTTAAATATTTCAAAAATGGTAACACTTTTACCTGATTTTTTTTGTTTATCAGAGAGCTCACCCCCCCACCCAAGAATGATAGAATTGTATTCTATCAATCGTGCCCCCCACCTACCTTCCCCTAAAGTTTGGTGGGTTACTTCTGGGACACCCTGTATGTATACGTTTTTTTTTTTAACTGGTCAAGTTTTGGCAAAGGACAAATTTTAGCTGTTCAAAACGGTGTCTGCCACGCCGCTCCAATCAAACAGGCTGCAAGAGTATAATCATTGCTCACATTATTTAATTTCTATATATATACCTTTAAAAAATATGACTTTAAGCAAAAAACAACTTATATTCAAATTTTGGGGGGCGGTCGGCACGCTTTAACTTTATCCGATTGACTTAAAATTTTGGGTAACACAATTTTTCAAGTATATTCGCCAATCTGGGGGGTGCGATCTAAGAAAAATTAAAATTCAAATTGTGCGGTATGGTTAAGGGCCACCCTAATGTGCAAGTTTTAAGTGGTTAAAAATTACTGTTGATTTTTTTAAATTTTTTTCGCCAAAGGTAACGCGGGTTTCTTCCATATAAAAATCAATTGTTTTTATTCGTTATATGGAAGCAAATGGGACAAAAAAAATCTTAAATATCAACGGTAATTTTTAGCCACTTGAAATTTGCGCATTGCTAGACCAAAATTGAATGGGCTATAAAACTGTGTACTCAAAAAATGGGTTTTGTTAGAGAATGAACTGTATTTTAATTGAAAATTCCTAAAAATAAATAAATAAACATGATAACGGCGCAACCAATCTGATCAAAATAGTGCCTTGATAGACGGCATTAATGCGGATTTAAGAGCCGTGAGGTTGTAGGTTCGAGTCCCACGGAATAAATTGTATTTTTATTAAAAAAATAATTAAAGTTAAATAATAATAAAAAAAAACTTGTCAATATGTGGGTGTCTTATAGTTATGATAAGCACTATATAATGAAAACTGTGACACTTATTCCTCACAGTCGGAATATAAATCCCATTCAAGCCCCGTTAAACTAATATTAGAAAGATCTCCGGTTTGTGACCACTGGCATCAAGCGCGAGCAACTAATCAGAGGATCTGATGAAACTAACAATATATTAAAAACGTCTTCTAAATTTTCAGCGCGAGTCGTTTTCCTACTATAGATCTCTCTAAAGTTTTTAAAGTCCTTGTTCGAACTAAATCCGCTTCTCACTAAAGATTTTAAAGTCCATGCTCTATTGCAGTACTGGCAAATTTAAAAGCGCTGTGCGCTTTTATAAAAATTTTTTTTGAAAATTACACTTGCAAAAAATAGAGGTTAGTTTAGTTTTTTTTTTGTATACATAATTTTTTTAAAACACATAGTTCCAAAAAAATACACCAAAAAATAAATAATGAAAAAAAAACAAAAAAAACGAAATATAATACCGCTTTCTTACAGTAACAATTTGAATTGCACATTTGAATTTCTCAGTTTTGAAAAAAAATATTGTTCTAATTTGTCAAGTTTGTACACGCATATCTCCCAGCTGGAAAACGATAGGAAGCTGAAAACTTACACCCAAATGCAGAATTTAATGGGGAATAATCCTGCGTTTTTTAAAAATTGAGTTTTGAGCACGCTTGGCCCCAGGGTGCGCTGAACCGACCCGACCAAATTATTTTCCCCAATTCGCGTCCCTGATAAATACATTCCAATATAATTATTATTTTACGTTTTTAAACTTTTTTCTGAATTGCAGATATTGGGCTGGTCAGACATTTCAGTTGGAGCTCCGTTTTCTATTTTTTGATGAGCGTTTTGATGATTGTTGCTCAAATGAGTGCTTTTTTGGTATGGCCCACATTTTCATCCAATCTGGCTGTAAAGACACTTGCTCTACCGTTGATTTTTGTTTCAATGCGTTGGTGGGAAAACTATGTTACGTCAAGTCCTTGTTTGGGTTTGTATTTTAAAATTACTTGCAATACAAAATCTGTGGTCAAAGCAGCATTACCGATATTGAAAATCAATTATTCTTGGAAAGTGATGTTTTATCAAAACTTTATTATATTTAATTGAAAAATAATAATTATAACGTCGTTTTGGAATATTTGTTTCAATTAAAGACATATCGCCTATTGGCTTTATGAAGGTTGTAACTAAAAAATTGAAAATTGTAGGAAATGGCTTTAAGTTTTTAGTTAGGGCTTATCAGACACAGTTGACAGTATCGTTATAAATTTTTTGCACAACAAGAAAGAAGGCCGCTGACGGCCGTGTCTGCAAACTTATTTCAAAAATTTTTATTATTTGTTATCACTTATTACTTCTTCCGTCAAACGAGCGAAATGCACGATGTAGAGAATAAAGGTTGCGCATTCGGCGTACCGCTACTTTGTTTTGCTGATTTTAACAATTTTCAGGTAGAAATAAACAACGCCTCAGAAACTTAAAACGCACTGAAATTCCCAAATATTTTCACAAAAATTACCTATCTTTAACACTTTCTTTACTAATTCCATTTATAAATCAAATAAATATCGCTCATTTACTTCAATAGTGTCATGATCAGCGACCAAAAATAACTGTTATCTCTAATTTACAAATTGAAAACATTGCCCGAATTACGAAATTTAACGAAAAGGCTCTTTCAAACCAATTATTAAATGAAACATTTTTTTTATTTCGCCAATAAGAGTTACTAGTAAACCCGGATGGCGTTAAAACCTAAAAACTTTTCTAAATGTTATTCAGAGTTATTACCGATTTCATCTGAATCCGTGAAGCGTTTCTGAGCGTCGGGTGTTAATTTCATCAAATTTAAAATCACCCTGCACCGATAAAAAAAAAGTTCTAACTTCAAAAAATAAACCTTATCGTACATGTATAGGCCAAGGTCTTTCATTTGACCTCTGATTTTGGTAATTCGAAAGAATGGTGGAAATATAAAGACCGTATAATATACATAAATCAAACATATTCTCAAACTAAAGCTTTCATAAATCGCTTACGATTAACACTCATAATTTAATATATTTAATTTGATTTTCTAAACATGTGGCAATCCCCTAAATATAGTTCAGAAATATCTTCTTTTCAACCCCATTTCCATTGATACCAAATTTTTTAATAATTTATTCAACTTACTATATAATTTGAATGCCGCTTTTTAAACACGCGAAACCCTCTTCAAACATTCTCAATGTTAAAACTAAAGAATTTTTAACATTCTTTCCACTGACACCTGTATTTTCGTATTTCAAATAATTTGCGTATATGGTAAATAAAATTCCACTTCTCAAACAATTGGCAACCCTCTTCAAGCTAAAATCTTCTTTAATATCCTTCGTCTGACATTGTGATACATACTTTAATTAACTGATGAATTAAGTTGAATTTTATTTTTTAAACATATGGCAACCCCCTAAATATAATTTAGAAATACAGCCTTTTCAAAACCATTTCAATTGATACCAATACTTTAATACTCCATTTGACTTATTAAATAATTTGAATTTAACTTTTTAAATGGGGGCAACGCATTTTAAACACCTCAAAAATATTTTTAGCATTCAAACTGAAGATTTCTTAACAATATTTTGTTTAAGATATTTTTATATTTCTTTCTGGCAACGTTCGTACTGTGCGGTCACTTAAACTTTCGCTTGAAAGAATTTCCAAAGTTTAACTCGTTTACAAAGTGCTAAGCAGTTCTAATTTGTGTTATTCACACCGTAAAAAGTTTACTGAAGCCAAATTCCAATAAATTGACTTGATTTAGTCATAAAGTGCGTTGATTGAAAAGTTTTATTTAGTCGGCCTTCGTGCATATTTGCCTGTTTTGGTGCATTATTGTTGCTTTTGCGTGAGAGTGTAAGGAATATCGCATTTGTTTGTTCATTTTGCTTTCTTTCGCGCTTTACACACACCTTTGTTTATCATCGACAGTCGCTTTCTTGGTGACAGCTGATTTTGTTAACTCAGTGGCTTTAAAACTGTTAAGTTCAGCACGGTTTCTAACCATTGAACTTCACTAAATAAGACCACTAGCTATTAAACTGCCAATTACTGTGAGCTTGAAACGTTTTCGTACAATACATTCCTAATTTCGCTATTTTTATTCTTTTTTAATAAAATTCGCTAAAAATGTCCTGTCTGTTCGAAAAATGTAATGTAAAAGCCGGTTCGGACCGTTTTGTGGCGTGCTGGCTTTGCGATGAACTGTCTCATTTAAAGTGTGCTGGTATTAATGGGAGAGTTCTGGATATGATTATTGGAGACAATGGACTTCGCTGGTCATGTCCAAAGTGTAAAAAAACTGTTGTGGATCTCTGTAAACTATTTAGAACCGCTAGAAATGGATTTTCGGAGATAAGCAAAGAGCTAAAACTGCTCAACGAGAAGTTCAAGAAGTATGAGGATGAATTCAAAGAATTTAAATTATTAGATACTTCCTCCTCCTCTCCTTCTCCTGGAAAAGGTCTTAAGAGACGTAGGAGAGGCGTGGAAAATATTGTGTTGAATCCCATCACTGTGGACCTGGATCTTCCGCAGAACCGCCCACTTTTGACTCCAGCTATGAACAAAGAACTCATAAGCTTTAACACACCGATTCCTCGGCGGACTGAATCTCCCCAACCACGTCCTTCTTCTACTGGAGCCTCACTAAATTCCTGTTCAACAGCTTCATCTCAACCCTCCACCACATCTGAAGCCATCTCCGATTGCGTCAACACCGTTCCAATGCAAGTAGTCGTTGCTCCTTCCAAAAACTCCACAACTACATCTCAACCCCCTACCACATCCGAAGCCATCGTTGCTCCTTCCAAAAAGTTGACAGCTGTTCCGCAACCCCCTGTTCCGCAACCCCCTACCACATCTGAAACAGTTTCCGATTGCGTTAACCCCGTCCCGAGGGATTTAATCGTTGTCCCTTCCAAAAAATCGGTCTTTATATCTAGGTTTTCAAAAGATACCACTGTCGATGATGTGAAGGGGTATTTAACTTCCAGGCTGATAGCAAATGAGTTGCATGTACGCAAGTTCAGATTCTCGTATGAAAGAAGCATTTCTTCTTTTAAAATAGACATATCCGAAGACTGCTTTGATAGAGTAATGAGCCCATCTTTTTGGCCAAGCGGTGCCTTCATTCGCGAATTTGAATTTAGATCTAGACCGCAAGGGCAAAATTTGGCTCAACTTCCGCTTTCCACCTCGGCATCAAAAAACTAATAAGTAACCTCACCATTAGCATTTACTACCAAAATGTGAGAGGTTTGAACACAAAGCTATCAAGGTTACACTTGCAGTCCTATGATTTTGACTTCAAAGTACTGGTGTTTACTGAAACCTGGCTCAAGCCGAATGTGTTCAACTCGGAAATTTTGTGTCCTAAGTATGAAGTGTTTCGAAACGACCGTTTAAATAAAAAAGGTGGAGGCGTCTTAATCGCTGTCCAGACTGACCTTTCTTCTGAAGAAATTGAGTTCACTGACACCGATGAAGTTGAATTCCTCTGCGTTCGAATAAGATATCATTCTATTAGCGTTTATCTTGTTGCTGCTTATATACCACCTAACTCGAGCCTTTCTGTTTATTTAAAACACTCCTCCTTACTGCTCTCTCTACATGCCATGGTGAAGCCCTCCGATACTGTTATTGTCCTGGGTGACTTCAATCTTGCGGGTGTTTCTTGGGATCTAATAGATGGTATTCTAGTACCAAATTCCTCTCGTGATCTCTTCAATCAATTTTTGAACGATCTGTCAGATCTTAGTCTTTACCAGATCAACTCTGTTAGTAATAACTTAGGTAAATGTCTGGATTTAGTTTTTGTGGACGATGTTTCCAACGTCACAATAGCCCCTAGCTATGCTTTGATTACCCCTGTTGATTCTCACCACCCACCACTAGAATTGTCCTTGATAAATTCACGCAACTCATGTTGCTTTATCAGTAAAAAATCAAGAGCGGAGCGTTACTCATTTAAAACAGCAGATTATAATAAACTTAGGTTAGAGATATCGAAGATAACTTGGCCCCAGTATGATGGGAATGCTGAAGATAGTGCCTTACATTTTAGCAATTCCTTACGCCACATTTTCAGTAAAATCATTCCTCTTGTTAAGGAAGCTAACGTAACGTCTAACGCTCAGTGGTTTACTGGCGAATTGAAACGCTTAAAAAATCAAAAATCCAAAGCATTTAAGCTTTTTAAAAAATCTGGCTTGTCTTCTCACTACTCCGCGTACTCCATTCTTAGGCATAAATACAATGTATTGAACAAAAAGTGTTACAATAATTATATTAACAGGGTTCGACTCAATATAGTTTCTAATCCCAAATCGTTTTACGCATTTGTGAACACTAAGCGTAAGACTAACGGTTATCCCTCAACATTGAAGTTAAATGACTTAGTTTCCAGTGACGAAAATATTATTGCCGATATGTTTGCTGGTTTCTTCGAGTCAAACTACTCTGCCAGTTCTACATCTTCCCAACTGAATTCGAATCTATCTAGCTACCCATTCGATCTGCCATCATTTGATTGTATCCGAATTCCATCGATATCTGCTGCGGACGTCCTCATTCATTTGAATTGTTTGAAAATTTCATATACAGCTGGCCCAGACGGTATACCCACAAGTGTTCTTAAAAGTTGTGCAGAGTATTTGTATAAGCCTCTGGCAAATATTTTTAATGCTTCCCTAAAACAGGGTGTCTTCCCATCTTCCTGGAAGGATTCGTTTATCTTGCCACTTTATAAAAATGGAAGTAGGACTAACATCGTAAACTATAGAGGAATTGCGAAGCTTTGTGCTATTGCTAAAGTTTTTGAGGCAATCGTTACGGAAGAACTATCTCACTCTATTACTTCTGCTATTGATCTATCGCAACACGGTTTTTGCAAAGGTAAATCAACTGTATCCAATCTTCTTGAATTCACTACTTATGTGTCTA